AGTTCATCATGGCCAGACATTAGAAATAAAACAATAAGATTACCAAAGTTTCTACACAAACAATTTGTAATTGTTATTTTGTTGTTGCCTAATGGTAAGAAGGAAAACAACTCCTTTTTTTTTTTTAAAGCTAAACATTTCTTACGTACTATGTTCCTTTTGCTCATCTCTGACTTCTCCTATGAGAAGTTTGGCAGGAATGAATACCTCTGAAGGGAAAAAGAAAAGCTTTAAATGTACCAAAGGTTCTTCAGTAGAACCAGGTCTCCTAACTCCAGTGCTTACCCTTGTCTTTATGAGATTGCTCTCCCAGCTAGTATTTATGCTCTTTTCTTGCCTTCAGTTTGCTGTCTGGAAAACTTCAGTGGCTTCTATGGCACTATAGGTGCAAATATACAGACAGTATGTTATTGACTTCTTCTCACAAACTCGTTAAAGGTGGAGAAGTTTGTTTGGGATCCCAGCTTAGAGGCTATAGTCTGTGGTGGTAGGAAGACATGGCAGCTGGGACCTCGTTATCCACCATGGTGGGAGTGTGGGGAGCAGGACTTCACATGGTGTCGGTGAGAAAGCAGAGGCTAGAACCTAACCCAAGCTTGCAGATCCATCTTCAGGGCCTGTCCATGGCAGCCTAGATCCCATGTCTGAAACATCCCTCAGCCTTCTAAAACAGTGCCACCAGCTAGGAGCCAAGCGTTCAAACATGTAACCCTGTGCAACTAGGGAGGAATCATCTAAACAGAGGGGTTTTTTGTTTGTTTGGTTTTTGTACCCTCCCCCTACACACACTTCTGATTTAATGCTGGCTTCAAATAGCCTTAAAGGACCTGAACTTACAGATCTGGGCATATTTTCAAGGTTGGCTTATAGACACAGAACAGAACACCCTGTTCTTAATCCTTGTCACTAACAACTTTTATACATTCTGATCATTCAGTAAGAAGGAAAACCATATTTTTCTGTTTCTTCCATTCCCCATGCAGCTTTCTCTCAATAGCTAGCTTTCACTTGGTATCCTTTTGTAGGTCAATTCCTTTTCCAAACCTAAGATAGTATTTTTCTCACTCTCAGTAACAAGAAACTAGGGAGAAGGGTTTCTGAAAGCCTTACAAATCACTTGACAACATCCCCAGTGGCACTAACCATCATGTTCCGTAATACATGGACCTGTGACCCACTCCTCATTTTTCACAGGGATGCTGGCATCCTGTCATTGGCGTAGACTTGTCTCAGTGATGTTTTCCATCTGCTGGCTTGGCCCGTCGTCATAGAGTATCACCTGGATTTTGTCTTAATGGTCTCCAGGGCCAAGGTGAAGGCTCCACAGAATGACTACCATATTCATCTGCCTGCACAATTTACTTTTTAAAAAACAAAACAAAATTTTGCTGGGAAATTTTCTAGGCAAAGTCCAGAAAAAAGGTAGTCCTACTACCTCTCCTCCTTCTCCTTCCCCTACATCTTCAAATCCTGAGAAAGCTCAAACGTCACCTTCTCGAAGGAGTGCTTCCCAACACTTTCAGTTCTCTGGGAGCCCCTCGGGAGCCCAGTTCACAAGGTGGTATGCTGCTATTTTTCATTTGAGTCTTGTCTCTCCCACTGAACTATAAACTCTTCAAAGGAAAAGAGGCATTGTATCTTTTAAAGATCATAACATACAGTGTGTTTCCCTTCAGGAAATGATTTGCAAGTTTAGAGAACATTAATAATCTCTGTTAGTTGTAAACTAACCCTACAGGACTCGAACACATTGGAAGTTGCTGTAATTTAAACACAGCGGTTAAAAGTAGCTTCTCTTTTATAAAAAGTTAGGAGTGGAAAATTTAGTGTTTGAGAGGCTCATACCTTTTTCTAAGAAAAAAAACAATAAAAATTTAATATATTTTATTTAAAACTGACAAGATCTTTGAAACAATTCAATATCATTTAAGACTGACCTCAGACATTAATTGCTGAGATTCATCAATTAAATGGTTTAAGGTCATGCTTATTCTTTTTTTCTAATAACCTATCCCTATATTTAAACATAGCTCTGGGTGGTGGGTATGATTTTCTAATCATTTTTAATTGTTTTTATTGAGCTGTATATTTTTCTCTGCTCCCCTCCCTTTCTCTCCCCTCACCTTCTACCCTGTCTCATGATCCCCATGATCCCAGTTTACTCAGATCTTCTTGTCTTTTTCTACTTCCCATGTAGATTATATCCATGTAAGTTCATGCTTACTCTAAAATGGATTCCTGCTTTAATTGAAAGTTGCATATTATTTGTTCATCATATATATATATATATATATACATATATATATATATATATATTAGACTTTTAAAAAGCTCTGTTGTGGGACTGGAGATGTGGCATAGTTGTTAAACGCATACACTGCTCTTTTGGAGGGTCTGACTTTGGTTTCCAGCGTGCGCATCAGTATGGAGCTCCAGTGAGCTGCCTCTGGCCTCCAGGGCACCTTTCCACATGTGCACATGCCCACTCACAAGAACACACATGCACGTGTTTGCAATTATCTCTCTTCGTGTGTGTGAGTATTTTATCTGTTTGTCTGCCTGTGTACCACATGTGTGCCTATTGCCTGTAGAAGTCAGAAGATGCTGCCAGCTGTCCTGGGACTGGAGTTATAGAGAGTCGTGAGCTACCATGTGGGTCTGGGAATTGAACTTAGGACCCCTGGAAGAAGAGTCAGTGCTCTTAAATTCAGCCCGTACATATAATTTTTAATTTTATTTTTAAAATTAAAATATAATTACATTATTTCCCCCATTCCCTTTCCTCTTTCCAATCCCTCCCGTGTTTCTCACATACTTGCTCCATTTCAGTTCGTGCCCTCTTTCCTTTAACTGTTATTGTTACATATATGTGTGTATACATGAATACAAACCTGCTCCTTGCTCAGTCCATTTAGTGTTACTTGTGTATATATATGATTTCAGGACTGAACTCTATTATATAACCATGTAGTGGCTCATCCCTTGGGAAGTCTATCCTGTTCTTAGTATTCCTTAGTTACCTCTAGTTCTTTGTCAACATCTAGGCCTTGCCCCAGGATTTTCCCCTGCTTCCATGTTAGCATGTGTCTTGGTGTTGTACTTCTTCCGCTCTTGTTTAGGCAGCCATATTGTTGAGGTATCATGGGTAAAGCTTCCCTGTCATTTCTAGAAGTCACAAACTCATAGATTCTCTCTTTTACAGTCCCCCCCCACACACCATGTGTTTCCTTAGACTTAGGTGCAGCAGCCAGGTTGTACTGGGCACCTCATGATCAGTTGTTCTCCGTATTTTGTCCAGTTGTGGTTATCTGCAATGGTCTCTGTAACACAGAGAAATTTATTTTGTGATGAGTGAGAGCTATACTAATGTCTACATAAAAGAGTATTATTTAGAACACAGTTAGGACTTGTAGTGGTTTAGTAAAGTGGCAGGGGTAGGTTCTCCTCAAAGTTCCATGACCTCACTAGCCCTGGATATTTGACTAGGTTTCTAGTACCAGACACGATCCCTCCTGTTGAGTGGGCATTAAGAACAATCAGACAGTTATGGTTACCTCCCTGATATAGGTGCCTTTGGGATACCTTGCCATCATAGGAACCATAGTTGGATAGGACTATTGGTTGCTTCCATCCCTTGGAGGCATTCATAGCACTTTCTGGTACTACAAAACCTACTTTTCAGGGAAGGAGCTCTCAAGTTAGATCCAGCTTGGATCCTGCATCTGAAGTGCATGGCGTATTCTGCAATACAGGCCTATCTTCAACTATTGGGAGGCAACCAAAACAACAGCAATAGCCTATATTGTTTTGAGAGTTTCTTGAACTCCCTTGACGAATAATACTACATACATTAAGGATGTCAGTGGGGAAAGCCATAAGAAATCATATTACTTTTTATTCATTTCAAATTATATCTAATATATAAGCTTATATTTATATATATATATGTACATATATAGTGGAAACAAAGTGATCCCACTTTCACTAGTTTGTAGCCATATATTAGTTTGTAGGCTTCCCAAATTATCACACAGAGGCTTATATTAATTATAAATGCTTGTCCAGTAGCTCAGGCTTATTACTAACTAGCTCTTACACTTAAATTAAGCCATAATTCTTATCTATATTTAGCCACATGAATTGGTATCTTTTCTCAGTATAGCATTCTCATCTTGCTTCCTCTGCATCTGCCTGGCAACACCTGACTCTACCCTTCCTCTTCCCAGCATTCTCAGTTTGGTTGCCCTGTCTATACTTCCTGCCTGGCTACTGGCCAGGCAGTGTTTTATTCAACTGACAAATCTTTACAGTGAACAAGAGGATTGTTACACAGCATTAGTTAACACAGTTTTAACTAAATAGAGAAAGTCTATTTAAAAAGAAGAGGTCTGCCTCTTAGAGATGAGCATGGATAGTATAGGGAGGAATGGCAGTGTGATACAGCAGCAGTCTCAGAATGAAGAATAGCTGGGGAAAGTTGGACTTTCTTTCTTGACATTAAAACTTACCACACCAAATTTTCCTCAAAAGACAGGTTTTTCACACTGGCTCACAACCAAGCATACCTTACCCAGATGCCATGTTTAATGATAGCTTCTACCATTGAGATGAGTGGTCATGTGCCCCCTCCTCCTAGCAGGGAGACTGGGATCTGTGGCATCTAGGGGCCCAGGAGAAAGAGGACATTAGCACATTAGCACCCTGGTGAACAGCTATCTGGTTTTAACAGAGCTGGGAGCATCTCCCAGACAGCCTTGTTTCAGGACTGGGACTATGGGGATGTACTACAAGACACACACAAAGCCATTTAGACTTTTATTCTTTTATAGTGCTAGGAATTGAGTCCTGATCCTTGTGCGTGCTAACAAGCACTTCACCACCCCTTGATGGAGGTGGGTCTTGTATCTTATCTGTTGCTTTCATTGGTTAACTAATAAAGAAAACTGCTTGGCCTGATAGGACAGAATATTAGGTAGGCAGAATAGACAGAACAGAATGCTGGGAGAAAGAAGCTGAGTCAGGCAGTCGCCATGATTCTCCCACTCCAGACAGCCGCAGGTTAAGATCTTTCCTGGTAAGCCAGCTCGTGGTGCTACACAGAATATTAGAAATGGGTTAGATCAATATGAAGAGCTAACCAATAAGAGGCTGGAACTAATGGGCCAGGCAGTGTTCAAAAGAATACAGTTTCTGTGTAATTATTTCGGGTAAAGCTAGCCGGGTGGCGGGACGCAGCCCTCTGCTCCTCATCACAATAACTCCCAGCTTGCCGAGGGTATTGAAACCAGCAGATTTAGGCGCTTATAGATGGGAAATTAAAAAGACAGAGGGTGGTGCTGACAGTTTCCTAACCTTTCCCTGTGTCTGAAGACATTTCTAAAATGTCACCGAGCAAGGCTTGGAATGGTTTGCCTGTTGCCTGAAACAGTGACCTATTAAGACACCAGATGTGTATAAACTGGCTTCCACATCCACTCTAGACCTCATGACTTTCAGGGGATCACAGTCTGATTTCAAAGAGGATATCATCTAATTAATGTGAATTAGCACTAACAAGCACGGTACTGTTACAGATACATGAAAGGCCTTTGCAGTAAAGAAAAGTCATGAAATGACATGCTAATTTAGTGTGTGGGCACCGGAAGAGCCATTACCTATTCAAAACAGAGCTTGAGCAGGAGGAGCTGGTTGCTAATGGTTTTAGCGGGGGAGGAGAAGGCTACACTGCAATTCTTGGCTCTGGGGTAGGGTCAGCAAGATCAGTAGCCCAGCATTGACCTCTGTGTTTGGAGCCTCTGTGTTGACTCACCAGACTTTTACAGTTCCATGAGCCAAATAACAGAGAGGCAGACAGAGCTGTCTGTGCTGAACCTTAAGTCCGCGTCCTTGTTCCTTATGACCGTAAAGAGCATGGGATCCCATGTGGAGACTACCGTATTCATCCATATTAAATTAGAGTGACCACCAGAAAACCCACTGGGAAGACAGGGACTTGTGCCTGGTGGCACACCTGGGTGCTGTTATATATTCTTTAAGACTGACTTTTGATAAAAACTCCATGCCTAATCGAAAGAGGATTTTGGTGACTTCTATCAAACAGCAAGTTTATCCAACCCCGTTTTTTGAACCCAGATCTTCTGCTGATTCTGTGATGTGTCCTGCTTATAATCAAACCAAAACAACTCTTCCATATTAAGGAATACCTAATAATGATAGAAAATTATGGAGATAAACTTTTAATCAACTTTAACTTTTAAATCCCATCACCCAAAGATAATCACTATAAATATTTTGGTAAATATATA